TTTTTTAGCATACTAAACCAAGCGTATTTTGATTGTGATTTTATGATGTTTGTTAATTTAAAACTTAAGCACTTTTATTCTGAAATACACATCATATCAGAAATTGATTAATTTTGTGCATGTAAGTCACTGGATACCGGCTTAATGATCCGTAATTTAAGCTCTAACTGCACAGCCTACAGCTCTTGGGTTCTTTCACCAACAGGGTTGTGGGTGTTCCCTGTTGAGAAGCCTCCTACCGGGATGATGTAAGTATATATATATAGTGTTTCTTGGTTTTCTATGGTTATCGAACTTATATCAATTCATGATTTCAATAACATTCTACAGTTTCCATAAACCCACATACACCGATAAATCAATAATAGTTGAGACTATCCTATTTATAGAAAAAAAACTTACTTTATTAGCTTCTTCATAAATGTCTCGTTTTTTTTTTTCGATTTCAAAATATAAATGTTTAAAAATATCATAAAGCTTAGTAAGAAGCATTATTTTAAAATGAAAGATAAAATTAACTGATCAGTGAGTGAGTGAGTAAATAAGCAAATCAATAAGTAGGCGGATAACTGAAGCAATTGAATATCTAAAGAGAGAGAGCGAGATAGGGAGAAAAGTGAATCGGTTCATTCGTCTTTTTTTTTTTATCTTTGATATAATGTACAACTTTGTATCTATGCGTTTTTTTCTACTTCTGTCAATATTCTAAGAATCTTTGGTTTTCTTCGCCTGTTTATGCCCGATTCAGATGTTATCTTCAAAAAAATAAACTAAAATAAAACGAACAAACTTCATCATTATGAAAAGTGTACTCAATGCTGTGATTAATTAATATTTTGTTCGTTTTTGCCTTAGTTTATATTTTTATCAAGCGGTATTATTAGTCTTATCAGGTAACAATGAAATGATTGATAAAAAAATATCATTTTTCCCATTTTTATTATATATATATGTATATATATATATGTCTTAGCCAATAATTGGTTCGTTTTCTCTTACGCTTACTACTTTGTTAATACTTTAATATTCACATTCTACGACCATTATTGTTCAATGATGTGAAAAAAAGCTCAATTTAAAATTAATTAATCCAAAAAATTATTATTATTATTATTATTATTATTATCATTATTGTCATCTAGTCAGTCATTGAACGATTAATTAAGTGATGTTTCCAATAAAATAAAATAAAAGGAACTTATTAAAAAGAAAAGTAGTAGTTGGAATTCATAGATGAATACGTTAAAGTAATGACATACTCGTTTTTCAATCAATCGTGTACATACATATATTTCTCATGTTTGTATTGGTTTCGATGATTGATATACTTATTGATATTTTTATTGAGTTGAATTTTGTTAGTTGTGCATTTGTTTTCAATTCACTCAGTCATTCATGCAGTTTATTAATTACTACTTAAATGAAGCAAGCTTTCATTGTTGTGATTATCTGCTGCTGCCTGTGAAGTTAATCCCATCGATGACCTTGATATAAGTTGATAATGAGAAGTTTTAGTTGGTATAAATAATATCAGTGATAAATTATTGCTATCAAGTAGTTGACTGTTATTTATTCAGTTAGCACAGGAATATTTAGTACAATAACAAACTAACAGAACAATCCACAAAGTTCATCACCTTTGTTTTCTCCATTAGTGATCATTTTGACTGATGTGAAAATTGAAATTCCTATCCTAAACCCTAAACGAAGTAAGTGGTTGTTCTCAGCGTACTTCCCCCAGCCGTTGACATAAGGGTCTAATCCACAGGTTAATGAAACAGCGTCAAGTGTTACAATCATTTTGTTGCTCATGATCAATATAGGTTTGTACTTCATTCGTTACTTTTGTGTCTTGGAGCCCAAACGTATTATTGGCTTAGAATTAAAGTTATTCAGTTTCCCTCATTTAGGACCTTCAAACCCAACAAGAAGCGCCGAATGTCTACTTTCATACTCTAACTTTCAGTTAAACATTCTCGTCACAAGAAGCCAGTGAGTAAGAGTTCTCTAAAAGAAGCAGTGGATGCACAATAGCGAAATACTTCTAATACCTTTACTACCTCTTCTACTATTGGATTTGAATTGAGAATTATATCTCTGTGCTGATGTGGTATGGCAAAATGAACGGATGTACTTACGTACGAAGTTCTGCGTTGCATCTGACTGACTGACAGTAGCGAAAGAACTATAACAATTTATCAAGATGCCAATACTACGACTGTAGATATAATTTAGCACAAAGGCTCATATCACTCGACACAAAGAAGGAAACTAAAACTTTAAATGTCAGATGTTTTTTTTTAATACACGAACTATCACTCCATCAGTTATTAAAACGATAGTGAAAATTACAATAAAGAAATAAGTTATTTTAAATATCCGATCAATAGTTTAGTTTTTATACTTTAAAATTATTGAGGTAGTTGGCACTAAGTAAATTAAATAATATAATGTATGTATAGAATTTACAGTCACTGAATTTTGTTTTCATTTATTTCAAGCTTGACTATATATTTCAAAAGAAGGAAGAGGACTTTTTCTACCTTAGGATACGAGGTCACATAATTTACATGTATGAATGAATAGTTGGATGATATTTCATTAATGTAATGACAATCTATGTCCTACTAATGTGACATAAAACTCATGTAGGTACTAGTTAGACGAAAAAACACAACCTAAAATGTTATGTCACCTTCGTCCATTGGTGTGTGTGTGCGCGTGCGTGTGTTTTGACCAAAGCAAACGTGACTATAGCGTTTTAAACAGCTAGTTCGAATGATTTATGCAATTAGGATGATTAAGGTAAGGTAAGGTAATGTAAGAGCGAATTCGCAACTAACTTAACAGCCTCTAAGGTTATACTGATAAAAAGAAAACTCTTTTATTATAATTATCAATTTCGATTTTTATTCAATCATCCAAATATTATCAGATTATAAACGTGTTTATGCTTATCAGATGAAAACTCAAGCGTTTGACTGTTATCATCTATGTAATCAATGTTCAATGTCCTGTGAACTAATTAATCTACATACATATTTAAACGGTCTATTTGTAAAAAAAAACAGTCATGATAACCAAAGCGAAAAAGAACAATTCATTATTCTCTACAAATTAAATGGTTTTAAATAGGAATTTGCCCTAATTTCGAAATGTTTTCATACTTTACTGATATCAGCTGAACAACTTCACATCATAGTACTCTCTTCTGATTGATTCTATAATGTTGTTAGAAAGCTGTAATCTCTGAAGTGAAAGTGAAGCAGCTATTTATTGGTTTGCATTGAGAAGAATTTCTTTCGTGAAATTACTAAAGCTAGAAAACGTGTTTTTGAGAGTTCATTAGTTAGTTAGTCAGTGGTTTCCTGATGTATTTGAGCGTATATAATTAAAATCTTGCATAGTTTAAACCTTCTTTGTACATCGTTTTCATTAATTAAGGATTTGAAATCCTATACAAAAAATTATATTAAGCTGTTATACCTACCATCATTTTTTATGAAACTTATGAATTTTCTAAAATAATTCTGCTTCCAGATGAATTTGTTTTTCTATTGTCAATTCAAACTTAAAGAATGTGAGATTTTTCTCCGTATTTGGTCACCTTCATATGATAGATGTGTATCCTTTTAAAACTGTCTTCACACACAGTTTATTACATTCTTTCTTATATCTATCAGTTGACATGGTTTTAACTGACAACTGGACTGAGTCATGTTGATAGGTATCGACTTCCTGATTGGGGCCCGCGAGATGATAGTAATCGATGGTTAGAGACTCTGAATGACATCTCTCAAAACCGTTTGCAGTGGCGCAGGTGCATTAATTCTTTGTGTTGTCTCAAATCCTAACCTTCTGAATTCCCCATCACCTTTATCTTTTTCTTTTTAAGTTTCTTTCACTAGATCCTACCTCTTTAATAATATCTTCGAACCCTAATCTCTCCGATTACTGCTAATACTTTTACTACCTCTACTGCTATGGGATTTGAATTGAAAATTGGATGTCTGTACTAATGTGGTATGGCGACATGAACTGATTTACGTACGTACGTACGTACGTACTTACGAAGTTCTATGTTGTTGTCGACTGACTGAACAAACGGTGTGACAGTTCGAATCATTAGACATTTTCAATAAAAATTTTACTCAAAATGAATAAAATTTGAACCGTATTGTGTTTTTTTTTAACCGTAAGCAATCATGGAATTAGTATACTTATAAGAAAGGTGGATATTTTTTAAGTAATAATTTTCTCAGGTTTTTTTTGTCATTAGCGTAAACAACATTGTCTTTGAAACTTATTGGATAGATTTTTTTTACTAATAACTAAATGTTTACTCAATTCAGGATTATAAAACCTTTCGATTCTATCGTGTATTTCTTCTTTCACAAGGTCATTATATTGACCGATTAACCTACCGTAATTACTTTAAAATTTCACTGTTTAATCACATTTGCTCTTAGCCAGAAAATTTCTTTCTCTCTATCTCGGTTTAAACATCGTTACTACATGTAACAGCTTGAACTAACTATTCGTCATGATAATTCATTCAGCCTTCTGATAGTTTCATTATTATCCTGTAATTATGTCTTAACATCCCAGTAAACTTTTATTCTATTGTCGTATTATGGCTATGATATCACTTATGTTGTGTGCACTTGTACATATCATGATTCTCATTATTTGGTAAATTAATTTAAGGAATCCTCCCTAAAATTTGATTTTAGTTATTTTAACGTCCATCAAAATCATCAATCAACCCACTAGTTTATTACAATAAACTTATAACCATTGAATTGTGGATTCTATCCATCCCAATTTGATTAACCTGTATATATACTTACACTAAGTACTACACAATCGTTTTGGTCGTTTCTGTGTATCAAGGGATTTTCGGATCAAGATTTTTATGTCAAATTTTTAAAATATACGTTGCATATTTGAAATATCACTTACCTTCTTCATATTTCCTATATTATCATTTTTATTTCTAGGATCCAGTGGTTGTGTTTCAAAGTCATCAGTTTGTCAACATGATTTAATTTCTTCACAAACAAATATCAATCAGTCATTAAATACTTTTAAACAATCAGATCAATTACAATCATTTTATGCTGATAGGTTATCTAGTTCAAGCTCTGCAACGCCTATTTCCAATTCCACATCATCTACTCCATGTTCAATGTCAAAGGGTAGTTCATTGTTTCGATCGCCACTTACTCAGCTATCAGACAAATCAATAGGATCAACCTGTGTCAATCCACAACAACAACAACAGCAGGATATGACAACAACAGATACAACAGCAGTGATTGAATTAGACAAACAATTGTCTAATATTATGCATGATAAACCTCGTTCTGGTCCGAATGTTACATTTAATATGTATAATCCAGATAATGTAACTTGTTATTCTTTACCGAATCGTCATCATCATCTGCCTAATCTATGTATGACCATTGATACTCCGTTTGATGAGAATAGACAAAATGTTAATATTATTGAAAATGACCCTAGTAGTAAATATTGTAATTATGGTAAAAAGTCATATGACTATTTTGCCACAGATAGTGTTCTTTTAATACGATCCTCTAGACGACGTAGAATTCGACCGGATTTACCATCAATGAATACTGATTCGAAAATCACTGATCCTTCCTCTCCTAATGCTTCTGTAGATACTGCTGATCCATCTACTTCTAAATCGAATGCATCAGATTGTTTAAAACCTGAAAATGACTCTTCACTATCATCAATTTCTTCATCGACAGCTACTGCACCTACTGCAACAGTCGGTGTAGCACGATTAGTGTCTAAAAGTGGTATCTCAACCGATTATTACTATTCATCAGGCTATCAGTCACATTCAAGACAGTCAAGTTTGGAATCACAACCTGCTGATTCTAGTCCACAATTATTATCAACAGAAGTATGCTCACAAACTCAATAACTGTTGGTATTATGGTAAGTATCCTTTGTATGATTTTTTCGGTGTTAATTTTCTTATGCTTATTTGCATGATTTTCAAGTCTACACATACAGATTATTTTACTCGGCTAGAAATTGATTGTTTTTGTTGTTGCGAAAATACCCTAGTTAAATAATCTTTATCTGTGAGATTTAGACTGATAGGACTTAAAAACTAGTGTTTTAAGCTTTTTGCATGTTTGGTTTTAGTTGGAAAGAGAAGGGTGGGGAGGGGGAAAGATAGAAATGAAAACTCGTTTTGATTTTAATAAACTAGATCATGCCTGCATTGTTTATATTTGCCTTACAAAAATATTGTCATTTATCAATGGTTCATGCATTCATTATATCGTTACATCCTATCATATTTGTATATTGTATATTGGTAAATTATTCAAAGGTATCATGTCTCATGATACAAACCCCATATAAACATGCTTACAGTTGATGTTAGTGTATGTGCTCGATTCAAAGGAAAACTGTGTGTATGGAAGGTTGTTTGTCGTAGTGATTGATCTACCATGGTGACTAATTCCCTGAGATATGTTTGCCAATGTCATGTATGTCAAATTGTTAATGCGAATCGCACCCCTGTGGAATATCTGATGTTTATTGATAAAATGTGTCTGTAGATTAAAAATTTGTATTTCTTTAAATGTTTTAAAGCTAAGAGTTAGGAATCAAAGTGAGTAGTTTGTTTTGTTAAACTAGTTGGTTTGTGCTATTATCGTAGAGCCTGAGAAACACCAAATCATGAGTAGAAATTTTCTATCCTGTTTATATTTGACTATTTGGATCTTCTTATTGGTTGTTTTGGGACTGCAATTGATCAGTCTAACATGTTGCACTGATGATAGCTAGAACTTTGAGTTACTCAGCAGAATTCTCTTCTTTAGAATATGATAATTGATCAGAACTAGAAGTCAAAGGATGAATAGGTGAACATTTGTTACGATTGTAAAATGAATATTACTATTTTCTCAAATAATAACTACGAAAATTCTTTAAAATAAATATTAACTAGAAGTAATAAGATTGAAATAATTATCTAATTTCATTCTGTCTGTAATCTGTGGTCTAGTGATCAAATCAGGTTTTTTTTCTCACAACCATTGAATTTTTATTTTCAAACACGACCCCATCTACTTCAGTTGCACTAGTTGGATAGCATCACTGAATGTGGTTTAAAATTCTTAGTTCAAGGTTAATTATGTGAATGTCTGTTTCGATACTGAGTTAGGTTACAACCACAATACACAATGTCTGTAATATATGTTCTCTTCAAATCTTGATTTTTCAGTGATAGAAGATAGTTTGATTAAGTATACTTACTAAATCATTACAAGATTTCAAATGATATATATATATATATATATATATATATATATATATATATATTCATGACAGCCTATCATACAGCTTACACTTGTATACAGCCTCTTGACCGCTTCACTTATCTCGGAAGTCTCATAAGTGCTGATGACTTGGTAACTGCCGAAATCTCAACATGGATACAGAAGGCTCGATCGGCTTTAAGCAACCTACGTCACTTACGGCGTAGGCCAGATATCCGTTTGCTGTCTAAACGACGAGTCTACTGTGCAGCAGTTCATCCTGCTAAATGGATGCGAAAAATGACTGATAAGAGTAGAAGAAGTTCGTAGGTTATTAGTATTCGATTATAGATGTCTTCGGATCATTGCTCGTATATCCTGGGACAACCGAGTAAGTAATGCTATAGTTAAGAATCGAGTACTAGGTAAGGGTGGCAGATCAATAGATAGGGTAATAAAACTTGATCAGTTGAGATGGTTGGGACATGTGTTACGTATGCCCAATCGCGGACTGCCTTGACGAGTGATGTTTTGTGGTGTAGGAATAGGTTGGACAAACGCTAGGTGCGGCCAAACCAAAAGGTGGCAAAAATCCGAGAAGTCACTGACAAGTGGACTGAATCATGTTGGTAAGTGTAGATTACCTGGTTGGGGTCCGCGAGACGAAAGTCACCAATGGTTAGAGACCTTGGACGACATGGCTCAAAATCGTTTGCAATGGCGCAAGTGCATCCATTCTTTGAGCTCTCTCAAATCCTAATCTTCTGGATTCGTCAGCAGCTCTCCCTTTGACTTCCTAACCTTATCTGACTGAATTATACTTCTTGAATAATATCTTCAAAGCCTAGTCTTCTTCATTACCATTAATACCTCTACTATCCTTATCACTATGGGATTTGAATTGACAATTGTGCCTGTGTGGTAATTTGGTATGGCAACCTGAACTGATGTATGTACGTACGAAGTTCTACGTTGTCACTGACTGACTGGCTGATTGTATACAGCTTTAATTTGTATTTTGAACTAACTTTTTTTTTCTACCGTGTTTTTTTCCTACTCTACTTACTTACTTGCTTACTTACTAAATTAAACCAATTGTTATACTGGTAAACATAATAGAATTTTCACTGCTTTTTTTTTATATAACAACACATTAACTGTTAGTTCATTTATTTTTGCCGCTATGTATATTTTTTTTAATATTCAACACATGATTATTAATTGACAATGAACTTATTTTGTTAATATACACTAAATCAATCAATCAATCTATCTATCAATCATTTAGTCAATAATCTTATTGATTATTCATTATTATTACTTTTGTTTTTTTTTTGTAATTTAATAAAATACATGGAATGTCATTAAATTTCTCAAACCCGAAAAAAACACTACTTGCTGACTTTATTAGTGTGTTAACAGAAATGTATACAGCGAAATCTTTGAAACGTTTAAATATTGTGTAACGATTAATAAACTACCAGATTTTTACCATGCCCCTATTCCTCATCATTATTATCTTGTAGATTTAAGTAATTGACTGTTAAATACTTGAATGTTTCCTTCACTTCATATGATTATTGAGTAAAAATTGATGCTATACACAAAGTGCTTAGATAACTGTGTTGAAGAATGCCACAGTAGATTTGTTAATGGTGGTATCAATCATAAATATTTGGTCGTTATTAATTTTGAGATGGTGGAGAAAACTTGTAGCTCAGGTGGATGATTGTGGTGGTGTTTCGTTCTCTGAGCTGGTTGTTTTGGTTGTGGAGCTTTCATTGTCCTACTGAACAACATCATCAGCACAAACTTCAGATAGAAGTGAAGCATTCGAATTTCTCCATGTTTGACCTGTAGCTTGTTCTGCTAACCTCGATCTTGACTCAGGATCAAGAAACAGATCAAAAGGGGGGTGCAGTCAAAACAAAGTTACAAACAACGACAGGTCAAAAGGCAACAGCAACCAATCAAGATCGAGGTTAGCAGAACAAGCTACAGGTCAAACGTGGAGAAATTCAAATGCTTCACTTCTATCTGAAGTTTGTGCTGATGATGTTGTTCAGAAGAACAATGAAAGCTCCACAACCAAAACAACCAGCTCAGAGAACGAAACACCACCACAATCGTTATTAATTCTTTAGGAACACATTTTTCCCAGAAGCAACTGTTCTCTATTCAACTAGCCGTTTGTTATTGTTTTCAGTTTTTTTTTAAATGTGTTTCTATTGTCTCAGAATTGTAGAACAAAGAATTGATTTATGTTTCAGTTTTTAAACAAACCGAAGTTTTGTATAAAATACAGGCGTATGATGTATACAAAGCTTCGAAATCTTTCGAAATTCTGACATCCATTATTTAGTGGTGAGATTAACAATCCTCGGTGTTTATAATGTTAGTTTATCGATCGAATGAATACGAATGTACACGGTCTTTTACTTTTGATTGTAAATAGAAACCATTTTGTTCATTATAATACTTAATACTGGCTTTAAGTTCGTATCTGTCTGCTGTGATCTAAATCCCGATCTACCGTTTATGCAGGAAAATGCTTATTCACAAGTCTTCATTGGCCTGTCAGTCCCATCTGCTTCAGTATTAAAATAAAATAGACTAGTTACAGGTTAAAATCTAGTTTTTCGGCGCTAAAATTTGGTAACATTATTCCTGAGTAAACTCCTATAAAACTGTTTATCTTCTTTGTTTTTGAGAAATGACCTCAGTTAAGTTTCTCTTGAATTGCTCGATCATGTGTATGATTTTGAATTTAATTTACCGAAACTGCAATTTGAAATACTCTCTCTCCCTTTCAGCCATTATAACTCATTTCCAAATGATCTGATTGGTTCTAGTTTTTTTGTACCTGTTGTAAGCGTTGATTGGATCTAAACGAGGCATAGAATGTTGGCAGTTAATTGATTCAATCTATAGTTACCAGTTTAAACCTCACTCTGCTTATTTCAGTCTTATCGGTAAGAAAAACCAGTAGCCCTAATACAAAATATCCCAATCTAAATTCAATATATAAACCTGTAATTATAAAATAATCAGTTACACAATAGATAAAATTAGTTTGTAAATATTTATAAAACTGTCAATAAACTGTAGATAAAAAGCTCATCATGATTCAAAGCGATCTTTTTAAATAAAGTACAAATAACAACAGGATAAGTTTATATAATTTCTTACTGGGAGTTTCACTTTAGACTACTATCACCTTAAGTATTCCATATTTGGTTCTTTACATTCATTGGAAAATAATGTCCATTGATCGATTCATTTTAATCCTAACTTTATATTTTGATGCTTTTGTTTTTCTTCTACCGCACATCTTTTATAATTTCTGTCTTGATTGATTTGTGTAAGTTTTTCTTTGTTTAATCCCTTCTATAAATGATTAAGTGATTTATGACCTCTTATCATATATTTGACCTTGATGTATTTTTTCCCCTTAGCTTTTTTGTAAAAAACTGTTGTTATATACATATATATAAATATACTTTACTTTTTTCTTTTTCTAAAGTTTTAAGCTTGAAAAAATTGTTTCCATAACTGTTTTTTCTTCAGTATATACAGCTATGGTCATATTCTTACCGTAATATAAAATACAGAAGTATTTTAACTATATTCAAGTTTTACAAGAGAAAGTAAACTTTTTAGTCA